GAAGCAGACTCACCTAGGAGGAGTAGAAGACTGGAAATAATCAAAATGAGGGCTGAAATCAACAAAATAGAAACACAGAAAACAATACAAAAAATCAATGAAACAAAAAGCTGGTTCCTGGAGAAAATCAACAAGATTGACAAACCACTATCCAAGCTAATCAAACGGCAGAGAGAGAATTTGCAAATTAATAAGATCAGAAATGAAAAGGGGGACATAACCACAGACACAGAGGAAATTCAGAGAATCATTAGATCTTACTACAAAAGCCTATATGCCACAAAATTGGAAAATGTAAAGGAAATGGATACTTTTTTAGATAAATATCATATACCAAAGTTAAATCAGGACCTGGTGAACAATCTAAATAGACCTGTTAGTCGCGAAGAATTAGAAGAGGTTATCAAAAACCTCCCTACCAAAAAAAGCCCAGGACCAGATGGTTTCAATGCAGAATTCTACCAGATCTTCCAAGAAGATCTAATACCTATACTCCTTAATGTATTCCACAAGATAGAAACAGAAGGGTCATTACCAAACTCCTTTTATGAAGCCACAATTACTCTGATACCAAAACCACTCAAAGACTCAACCAGGAAAGAGAACTACAGGCCAATCTCACTCATGAATATCGACGCAAAAATCCTCAACAAAATACTGGCAAATCGAATCCAAGAACACATCCGAAAAATTATCCATTATGATCAAGTAGGCTTCATTCCTGAGATGCAGGGCTGGTTCAACATACGAAAATCTATCAATGTAATCCAGCATATAAATAAACTGAAAGAAAAAAACCATATGATCATTTCATTAGATGCTGAAAAAGCATTTGACAAAATTCAACATCCATTTATGTTAAAAGTCTTGGAGAGATTAGGGATACAAGGGTCATACCTAAATATAATAAAAGCTATATACAGCAAGCCGACAGCTAACATCAAATTAAACGGAGAGAAACTCAAAGCCATCCCACTTAACTCAGGAACACGACAAGGCTGTCCACTCTCCCCATACCTCTTCAATATAGTGCTTGAAGTTCTAGCAATAGCAATAAGACAACATAATGGAATCAAGGGGATTCGAATTGGAAAGGAAGAAGTTAAACTTTCGTTATTTGCAGATGATATGATAGTGTACATAAGCGACCCCAAAAACTCCACCAAAGAACTCCTACAGCTGATAAACAGCTTTAGTAATGTGGCAGGATACAAGATCAACTCCAAAAAATCAGTCGCCCTCTTATACACAAAGGATATGGAAGCAGAGAGGGAAATCAGAGAAGCTTCACCATTCACAATAGCCAAAAACAGCATAAAATATCTTGGGGTACATCTAACCAAGGAAGTGAAAGATCTATTTGACAAGAACTTTAAGGCATTGAAGAAAGAAATTGAAGAGGATACCAAAAAATGGATGGACCTCCCTTGCTCTTGGATTGGGAGGATCAACATAGTAAAAATGGCAATTCTACCAAAGGCTATTTATAGATTCAATGCAATCCCCATCAAGATCCCATCAAAATTCTTCACAGATCTGGAGAGGACAATAATCAACTTTATATGGAAAAACAAAAAACCCAGGATAGCCAAAACAATCCTATACAATAAAGGATCTTCTGGAGGCATTACCATCCCTGACTTCAAACTCTATTACAGAGCTACAGTAATGAAAACAGTGTGGTACTGGCATAAAAACAGAGAAGTCGACCAATGGAATCGTATAGAAGACCCGAATTTTATCCCACAAACCTATGAACACCTGATTTTCGATAAAGGAGCTAAAAGTATAAAATGGAAGAAAGAAAGCATCTTCAACAAATGGTGCTGGCACAACTGGATGTCATCTTGTAGAAGAATGAAAATAGACCCTTATCTATCACCGTGCACAAAACTCAAGTCCAAATGGATTAAAGACCTCAATATCAGCCCGAACACACTGAACCTGATAGAAGAGAAAGTGGGAAGTACCCTACAGGAGCTGGGCACAGGAGATCGCTTCCTATGTATAACCCCAGAAGCACAGACATTAAGGGCAACATTGAATAAATGGGACCTACTTAAACTGAGAAGCTTCTGTAAAGCAAAGGACATAGTCAATAAGACACAAAGGCAACCTACTGATTGGGAGAAGATCTTCACCAACCCCACAACAGACAAAGGTCTGATCTCCAAAATATATAGAGAACTCAAGAAACTAGACTTTAAAATGCTAATTAACCCAATTAAAAAATGGGGCACTGAACTGAACAGAGAATTCTCAGCAGAGGAAGTTCAAATGGCCAAAAGACACTTAAAGTCGTGCTCAACTTCCTTAGCAATCAGGGAAATGCAAATCAAAACAACTTTGAGATATCATCTTACACCTGTCAGAATGGCTAAAGTCAAAAACACCAAGGATAACCTTTGCTGGAGAGGCTGTGGAGGAACGGGTACCCTCATCCATTGCTGGTGGGAATGCCATCTTGTGCAACCACTGTGGAAGTCAGTGTTTCGGTTTCTCAGGAAATTCGGGATCAACTTACCCCTGGACCCAGCAATACCACTCCTGGGAATATACCCAAGAGATGCTCTATCATATGACAAAAGCATTTGTTCAACTATGTTCATAGCAGTATTATTTGTAATAGCCAGAACCTGGAAACAACCTAGATGCCCTTCAATGGAAGAATGGATGAAGAAAGTATGGAATATATACACGCTAGAGTACTACGCTGCGGTAAAAAACAATGACTTCTCGAATTTTGCAGGCAAATGGATGGAAATAGAAAACACTATCCTGAGTGAGGTGTCCCAGACCCAAAAAGATGAACATGGGATGTACTCGCTCATAATTGGTTTCTAGCCATAAATTAGGGCCACGGAGTCTACAATAGGTGAACCTAAAGAAGCTAAGTAAGAAGGTGAACCCAAGGAAAAACATATAGTTATCCTCTTGGCTAAGGGAAGTAGACCCAATTGCCGGGGAGAAAATTAGGATTTTGGGGGTGGGGTGGGATGGGGGTAAGGGGAGATGGGGAGAGAAAAGGTAGAAGGGAAGGAGGGGGGACTTGGGGAATCAGGAGAATTGGGATAAAGGAAAGGTGGATAGGGGAGCACGGAACCACAATTCTTAGTTAAGGGAACCACTTTAGGGTGAGCAAGAGATTTGACCCTAGAGGGGCTCCCAAGTGCCCAACATGAGGTTCCCAGTTAGTTCCTTGGGTAGCTGAGGACTGGGAACCTGAAATGACCCTATCCGAGAGCAATACTGACGAATATCTTGCATATCATCATAGAACCTTCATCTGGTGATGGATGGAGACAGAGACAGAGACCCACACTGGAGCACTGGACTGAGCTCCCAAGGTCCCAATGAGGAGCAGAAGGAGGGAGAACATGAGCAAAGAAGTCGGGACCACGAGGCGTGCACCCACCCACTGAGACAGTGGAGCTGATCTACTGGGAGCTCACCAAGGCCAGCTGGACTGTGACTGAAAAAGCATGGGATAAAGCCAGACTCTCTGAACATGGCGAACAATGAGGGCTGATGAGACGCCAAGGACAATGGCACGGGGTTTTGATCCTACTTAATGTGCTGGCTTTGTGGAAGCCTAGCCAGTTTGGATGTTCACCTTCCTAGATATGGACGGAGGGGGGAGGACCTAGGACTTGCCACAGGGCAGGGAACCTGGACTGCTCTGTGGACTGGAGAGGGAGGGGGAGAGGAGTGGGGGGAGGGGTAGAAGGTGGGAGGAGGGGGAGAAGGGTGGGAGGAGGGGGAGGGAGATGGGAGGCTGGGAGGAGGTGGAAACTTGTTTTTTGTTTATGTTTTTTTTCTTCTTTTCTTAATAAAAAAATTATTAAAAAAAAAAAAAGCAAACAAACAAACAAAAAACAAGACAAACAAACAAACAAGAAAAACCCAGAAAGCTCCCTTCTTTCTTTCCATAACCATTTCAGCCATTTCTTGTTTCCTCTCTTGCAGAATAATCGGCTAACTAGTGAGTGCTATTTTTGTTTTGAACACTGGGCTTGCCACAAAAAAAGAAATTTTATATAATCTTTCTGAGCCAGTCAAGTCACCGAAAGTGCAAATGAATGAAACGTGGGGGTAGTGGGTACTAAACAAAATAGTGCAACGCACCGGAAGCTGACTTTACTTTCTTTTGAAACAAATCCGTTTATTTCAGCACCATCTTTCCAGCACTAAAAACAAACAAAACACCCAAGCTAGGCGACATGAAAAGCTGAGCGCTCAATTAGAAGTAGAGACTAGGGCTCTCTAGTCTAGTTCTACCACCTGTGACTACCAGTTAACACACTGTTCCAACGGCTGCGGCTACTTTGGTGAGGATGCCCAGATGCCCGCCATCCGTGAACTCTGGATCGCTAAGCAGGAGGAGGATTGTCTCGTCTTCCACACCCGAGGCCCGCACTTAACGACACGTTCTCAATCGCAACAGCCGCGGGACTGCCTCGACAGGTAAAGCAGGGGAAACGACAACGCTCTGACACACGCAAACAGTCCGTGAACCCGAAGTGGAGAAGGGCGACACCCCTGCTGCGAGCTACGGGAGAACGCGACCTGCCGCCCGCCAGGAGGCGGTTGGCACTGGAGGCCTGGACTCCGCAGCCTGTACCGCTCTTGGGACTTCGACCCTCACGGGAAAGGGAAGGGGCCCCGGAGACAGGAGCCGGGAGGGAAGTGGGACCTGCTTGCGGGAAAGTCAGAAGAAAGCCGAATCGCGCGCCGCCGCACCTCAGAGACCGCGAAGCCCGCCGCTCCCAAGAAGGTCTAGCCCAGAATGACAACCGCCAGCCCTCACCGAGGGGCGGCTCCCGTTCCGCAAGGACCTCTCTCGCCCCGCCCAGGGTCACTGCGGAATTTGAGGGCTGCCCTCTGAGCGCCTGACTAGAAAGTCAGACACTCCGCCCCCCTCCTCAGGGGTCCTTGGTCTTCCTTCAGAGAAATCATCCTTTCGGCCCGATTAGTTGGGAGCAAGATGGAGGGTGAGAGCCCGGGGACTACTCAGAGTCTGCGTTTTAGTAAGGCGCCCTGCCGGACAGACTGAGAAAAGAAAAGTCCTCGGCTTCATTGCGCCCAGCTACAAGAGCTTTCTACTTTCGTCCTCTTCTGCTCAAGATGGTGGCGTCCCGGGCAATTGGCAGTCTCAGTCGCTTCTCTGCCTTCTGGATCCTCCGCTCCAGAGGTGAGCCTGGCTGGGGACTCGGGAGATGCCCGGAGTGCCTGCTGGAACCGAGGCGGCGGTCACCAGCATTTGCCCCTCGCTGTGTCCTTCCCACCCCTTCCCCTGGACCCCGGGAAACGGGGGTTACTGTCCAGGGACCCCATTTCCTGTGCCCTTGGGAAGGGACTGTCACTTCCTCTCGCCCTTTTGCGGCGGTGTCAGACTCTCCCTAACTTTCCTGACTCGTTCCCCTTAGTCTGGCAGTTTGCGCAGGTCTCTCTGCTGCAGCTCTTCGCTCACGCCCCTCTCGTCTCCTTTGATGATTATGGTCTTGGCTCTGACCCTGTTAGATTGGGAAGATTGAGACCCATTCTGTCGCATCTTTGAGGCTCTGCCGCACCTTGGTCACTTTAAGAGCTCTGTCAAGCTTCTAGGTAGCATTGACTAGCCTTACAGATCCCTGCCACTCCTGATGTCTATCGTCAAAACCATTTTTGCAGAGAGCTCAACTCTCGCGCTTCCAATAATCCTGTCGTGAATGTATAGAAGACTGAAAGCAGAGGTTCTCCAACTCAGAGAAAGGAAGATTTTTTTTTAAAATACTAGAAAAACTTGATTTTTTTTGAGGAACGAAATTGTTAGATTATTTTCCAATCTTGTTTCTGCCGATGTCTAGTCAGGCTCTATGAACTTGCATTCTTTCTCTTCAGACTGGTAGTGAAAGGGTTAAAGGGGTGGCGGTAGAAAACTGCCTGTCCGGAGGCGTCCCACATCCATAATGGCTAATGTAAGTTTAATTTATTGCATATCATACTTGATACCAGTTACTTTGAGACTTTCATTTGTAATATGAATTCGCTTTAATTTACTTTTACCTTCCGAGACATTTAATTAAGTGAATTAATTGAGTCTTTTTCCATTTTTTTTTTTAAATCGCCACAGATCAATTGTGTGTAAACAGTCTAAATCACCACATTACCAAAAGAAAAATGAAATGAGGCCGGACATGGTGGTTCTCACCTTTAATCTCAGGTGGAACTTTGAGTTTGTGGCCTACCTGGTCTACGTGGTGAGTTCCAGGCCAGTCAGGGCTACATAGTGAGATCCTGTCCTAAAAAAAAAAAAAAAAAAAAAGAAAGAAAAAAGAAATGATGTTAAGGTTGAGGAAGGAATTAGGAAAAAACATCTGTTATCTTTACGTTTGTTATCTTTCTGTTATGTTATCTTATGTTTACTTGTGGCCACATTTCCTTACAGTTTATATTTTACCTTTAACTCATTTAAACAGTTTTAGGAAAAGCATCATATTTGCTCCTCCATTTGTTGTAAGGTATTTTTATGGATTGTCAGCTGCTACAACACTGGAGTGGTGATGGGGTCACATGTTTTCTAGTTACTAGGTAGCTGTGTGACTTTGGCCAGGTGCTTTAATCTAAATGGGCTTTCTCATCTGTAAAGTGAATGAGAGTGATTTTTTCTTTGGCAGGAGAAGTAATTTGATGGAGCAATTAAAGGCTTTAAGTATGGACTCTGACTTCTGCGTTAAATATGTCTTCTACCTTCGGGTAAACTCGGGAATTAATTTCAGTATCTTTTTCTCATTGATAAAATGGAGTCAATTACATGTTAAGTCTAAAGAAGTTGCATTAGGTATAAAGCAGCTTATCATGGGAATAAGTCTCAATAAATGTTATTGGCTTTTTAGCCCTAAGAAGTAATGGTTGCATATAGCTGAGAATTTTTAAAGCAATCTATCCATTTTATGTAGGTGATGAAAAGCTGACAGCCGGATTTTCCTATACTTCCACACAGAAACTTATGTTAATTTGTAAACTGTATTATGTTTTCGTTAAGAAAGTCTAGTCAGTTATAGCTACAACTTATTTTAATAGCAACTTATATACTTTGAAAAAATATATAGGAAAATCAATTTAAAATTAGCTGCCCACCTGATTTACTATTTAGAGTCTAGACTTTAGTAGTCCTTGACCCTGAGAGTGTGTGCGGGCGTTGCCAAATGCCCAATGAACTGTGGCGTTACCTGGAAAAAAACATAAGCCTTCTATGATAGTTTTAGAACATTCCTGCTGTATAGTACCATCATTCTAGTATGATTATCAAATAAAAAACTCGCAAGTTGACCTTCATATCTAATTTCTACTCCTCCTAATTCCCAAGTATGTGAGTGAGAAGAATTTTACGGGAAACAAAAGGCAGTTAGTAGGTACTGTGGTATTTTCCAGTCTGACTCTCACTTATTCAATCAATTCCATCCCTTGTCCTGGAGTTGGATTTTGGAAAAGCTATTAACTGTCATAAACTAAAGTAACATTTTCAAAATTGGGTCAGCACAGTCCAACTTTTCCCACTGATTATAGTGTGATCTCGTAGCTGTTTTCTTACATATGAAGATGATTAAAAAGTAGGACAAAGGTTTCACTCTTGCTGGCACTGAAAAATGTAGGCTAAAGTTCACTCGGCGGCAGCTTAGCTGTTAGGCGTGTGGTGAGGCTGGATTCCAGAAGCAAAGTGACCCTGTACTTCGGCTTGATTACATTGACTGTGGTTAGGAAGTTTTTCTTTATGTTTGTGCATTTAGTGTTCTTTCTCTTTGCTTTTGTCTTTGTTGATTTAGGAGGTTTTGTGTAACTATGTGGAAGCGTGTTTACCCCGAAGAGAGGTTAGTTGGCAAGATTTAAATGGCCTAAAGAAGGCTAATGAACACCAACTTACTTATTTATTATTTAATTTTTTTTTTTTTTAGTTTTGTTTTAGAGACAAGATCTTACTCGGTAGATCTGGCTGGCCTGGAACTCCTAGTCCTCTTAGGCTGCTCCCACACCCAGCTTGCACCATCCACCTCTAAAGTGGTGGAGGGCTGGTGAAGGGCGTGCCTCACCAAGCTTAGTGCTGAGGATTATTGAACCCAGGGACACTTGCTAGAGAAGTACCACTGAGTTACTTCTAGTTCCCAAGGCCATCTTAACTGACACTAGATATTTCAAAAGTTTTTGAGGAAGGCTAACTGTGTTCTGGTTGGCTATGATCAACTCTGTCTAGCTTAGTATGTAATTCCCATCCTCCTGCCTTAGAGTGTAGGAAGTCCACTTGTCTTGCTGCTAAGGGTTTTTCTGTTCAGAGTTCCTAGTAAATTTTACTTCGGGCAATCTTAGACCCGACTTTCGTCAGTCTCACGATCCCTCCCACCTGTAGCAATGGGTTCTCATACTCCAGGACTAGGTTTTTCTGTAGCAATGATTATGATTGGATCTTTGGAGTACAAGCACACAGGAGAGGCCCAGTGGAGGGTCCTTCAATCAGACTCTAGGTAGAAGACACGGGATATAAGGGGAATTTTGAACAAACACTAAATTTGTTTGAGACATTGATCTATAGCCTCTCCATTATAAAGGCTTGATCCTACTCTATTGCAAGCAAGCTCTAGATGACAAGCAGATTGTTCAAGAGTAGCTCAGAGGCAACATCCCCCAAATACAGCTTATGTGCTTCTTCAAAATACCCTTCCTTTTCTTCTTCATCATGGTTCAAACCATCTCTTCTACACGCCTCTTTAATCTTTCACTCCTTTCTCCACATATCCCAGACTTGCTCAACTATCCTAGGAAAGCTATCTCTTTCTTTAGTTCAGAAAATGAAAGTAAATCATCATTTACTCGACTAGGTGTTACACACTCAGGCACCAGCACTCAGCAAAGGCAGATGCCTTGAAACAGTGGTTCTGCACCTGGGGGTCAAGACCCCTCTGGGAGTCACATATCAGATATCTAGCATATTAGAATTTTAAATTATGACTCATAATAGCAAAATAGTTATGAAGTAGCAACAAAAATAATTTTATGGTTGGGAGTCACTACAACATGAGGAACTGTATTAAAGGGTCACAGCATTAGGGAGCTTGAGAACCATCCCCTTAAAGTAATATCAACTATTAGTTCTTTCTTTCTTTTTTTCGAGACATGGTGTCTCTGTGTAACAGCCCAAGTTGTCCTGGAACTAGCTGTGCAGGTCATGCTGGCCTCGAACTCACAGAGATCTGCCTGCCTCTGCCTCCTGAGTGTTGGGACTAAAGATGTGTGTCGTCACTGTCTGGCTAGTTACTTATTTCTATTTATTTATTTATTTATTTATTCATTTATTTATTATGTATACAATATTCTGTCTCTGTGTCTGTCTGCAGGCCAGAAGAGGGCATCAGATCTCATTTCAGATGGTTGTGAGCCACCATGTGGTTGCTGGAAATTGAACTCAGGACCTTTGGAAGAGCAGGCAATGCTCTTAACCACTGAGCCATCTCTCCAGCCCCCTAGTAACTTATTTCTTAATATTAGCTCTGATCTTCAACAAAACGTACATGACTCTAAGTTTCCCCCCAAAACTTCACCTTGAGATTTCAACTGTGTGATCCTCCTCCCTGCCTGCATTTTGGTCTTTATTATTATTTAGTGTTTTGTTCTCATTGCTGCATTTGCAAATGAACTTATAATTAATCTCTTCCACTACAATTTCAGTCATTAGGCAACCAAAGTTTTCACAGCAACCTGACATGTCATGCAACTTTCTAGGACACTGGGGTATAACAAGTAAAAGTAAAGTCTTGGTGGAGCTTGCATTCTGGGGCAGCAGAGGATATAGTACTGAATCTACTCAGGGACATAAATGAAGGGTTGAAAACAGCTCAGTGGTAAAGTGTTAGCCTAGCATGTACAAGGACCTAGGTTCAAGACCCAGTTCTGAAAAACTAATTGTAAAGTAGAAATTCTAGTGGGAAAGAAGCATGGGCTAGGTACTCTAACTAGGAGAGAGTGAAGCATATTGGGATAAGAATGGACTAACTGGTAGGACAAGTAGGGCGGGGTGAGGTAGAAAGTCAGACAAAAACTAAGGAAAATAAGCAGCTAAGTGTCAGAATGCAAATGCCGAAGCAAATCCAAAACAAACAAAGAAGCCTAACCAGCGGAACCAACAAACCTCCAAAAACAAACACCTACAAAAGCAGCGTGGCTGCAACTTCATTTTGAGATGAGGAACTGCTAGGTGTCTCAGCCTAGCTACAACCTGTGATCGCCCATCTCTGGGGAGTACTGGGATGGCAGGTCCTGGTCACCACTCAGGGCAGTTACTGTCTTAAAAATCAGATATTCGTGCTTTAGAGGTGGATGATGCAAGCTGGATGTGGGAGCAGCCTAAGGGGGCAGATGTAGGCAGGTCGCTAGGAGTTCCAGGCCAGCCAGATCAGAGTGAGATCTTGTCTCTAAAAGAAAACTAAAGTGCTCAGGCGGACCTGTGAGTTCTACTTTATAGTGACACTCTCTCACTAGAATCAGGTGTGCTGGAATGCATTTATAACCTGAGCACTTGGGATCATGAATTCAAGCGTTCAAAGTCATACTAGCCATGTTATGTATAGCAAGTTCCAACCTAGCCTGGGCTACACATTGAAGCCTTATCTCAAAAAAAATTAAAATAATAATAAGAAAAGAACAACAACAACAAACCAGGTTGTCCCTGGCCTCATTATCTTCTAAGTCTCTGTGTCTCCCAAATGCTAGTATTCCAGGTGTGGACCCCATACCTGTTCTGCTGATGACTTTAGTGGCTGTTTTTCCTGTAGGGTTGCAGCTGGTTGCCAAAGATATCCAGTGAGCAAAATGGTAATTAGAACCAAAATGGCTGGGGACATGAGATTTGATCTCTTGTGGTCATGCTGAAGACCCTAAGCAAGTTAGATGATGAGCACCAGCTAATAAGCAACAGAGGACGGTGTCAGAATTTTGTTATCCAAAGATTGGGAATGTTATTGGTGGAATGCAGTATAGAAATTTTTTTTAGTTAGGAATGCTTAAAACAGCAAAGCATGACATGGACTGTTTCCTTTGTAGCAGCCAGTGGTTGCCCCTTGATTTGATGTTTTGTTTTGTTTAAGGTCTCGCTATATAGCCCTGGATGGCCTGGAACTTGCTGTGTAGACCAGGCTGGCATCAAATCCAGAGATCCTCCTGCCTCTGCCTCCTGAGTGCTGGGGTTCACTGTATAATGACCACATCCAGTGGTCTTTTATTTGTTTTTCAATATTTATTTTTATTTATGTGTTGGTGTGCATGCGAGTGTATGACGTGTGTGTGAATGGCAGTGGTGACCAAAAGAGGGCATCAGATCCTCTGCAGCTGGAGTCTTTTAGCCAGCATGGGTACTGGGCAACACACTCGGATCCTTTAGGGAAACAAGAGGCATGCTTTCACTAGTTGGCCTGGAAATCACAGTAATCTACCTGCCTCTGCCTCCCTGGTGCACAGTTATAGTAGTCAGACGTCCTTAATGGGTCTCGGGCCAAGGATAAATAGCTCTGTGGTAGAGTGTTTGCCTAGCATACACTAGGCCTATGTTCAATCCCAAGTGGGAACCATATGGGTGTCATTAGGCTCAGGTAGGTGTTGACAGGGCTTCCATTCTTTCCGAAGGCCCTGAGGAAAAGCCGTGGCCTTACCTTTTCTAGTTTTCAGAGACAACCTGTGGTCTCAGCTTCTGCTCATCTCCTTCCTTTAGCAACCTGGAGCCAGGACATGCTCACATGTCTCTGATTTTCTTTGGGGTTACCCTAAACCCATTTAGATAATTCATGATGCTTTCCTTAGATTAAGGTCAATCTTACTTCCATTTGCATGTTAGCCCTTTGCCATGTAACCCAACACATTCTAGAGATGTGATGTGTCCTTTTTTTTTTTTTTTTTTTGGTTGGCGGGGCCATCCTCTCCCTACCTTACTTATTATCTGGATAATCATTTGACCTAATAATTAAAATGAGAAAGGTAATGGAGTAGCCACAATAGTGGCCTAGAATACATTGTTCTGATTGGTGTTTTATTGGTGTAAATTCTAGTTTTGCTGACCTGACAGATATTACAGAAATTCTGTTTCACAAAATAATTTTGAAACACTCTTCCCTTGCAGGCTGTATTTGCCGCAGCTTTACAGCATCTTCTGCTTTGCTGAGTAAGTTGACTTTCTTGTTTACATAATGCTGATTTTTATACTTTTCATTTTTTGAAATTAGAATAGAATTTCACCATATCCCCCATTCACTTTCCTCCCTCCAACTTCTCCCACACACCTTTCTTGCTTTCAAATTCATGGCCATTTTTCTTCATTGCTGTATATATGCATATGTGTATATGCACATATATAAATACCTATATAGATATATATATCACTAGATATGTATATGTGTGTATCCCTAAATATATGTGTGTATCCTAATATGTATGTATGTGTATATGTTCCTAAATATATGTGTGTTTCTTGATATATATATATATATATATATATATGCATATATGTAAAACAACAAAGAAAAAGAGGCCATGAATTTGAGAGAGCAAGGGGAGTATATGGAAGAGTTGGAGGGAGGAAAGTGAATGGGGATGTGTGTGTCCTAAATACAACCTGCTCTGTCCATATAATGGTACTTGTATGTATATATCTTAACATCACTTTGTAGACGTACTTTGTGATAAGCATGTTTAGAAACTAATTTGTCTTCTCTCTTTTAGCCAGAAACCATATTAATTATGGAGTCAAAGGGGATGTGGTGGTTATTCGGATTAACTCACCCAATTCTAAGGTACCCAAACTTTTTTTAGTTAATTTCTACCAACTACATTTATGAATCCTATCCTAAGTAGAAATGAAATCTGCCTGTTTGGACGTGGGCCTGTCACATGATTTTAAGGTTTTCTTAGTTATAGGCAGATGTTCCTGTATGAGAATTCCTTCTTGAGGCCAGGGGTGGTGGTGCACACCTTTAATCCCAGCAGTGGGAAACAAAGGCAGGCAGATCTCTCTGAAGCCTCAGCCAGCCTGATCTACATAGTGAGTTTCAGGTCAGGTAGAACACAGTGAGATTCTGTCTCAAAAAAAAAGAAAAAGAAAAAAATGTCCTTCTTGGTGGTGTTCACCTTTAACACCAACACTGTAGAAGAAGAGGCAGGTGGGTCTCTGTGATTTCTAGACCAGCCAGGCCTACTTAGTGAGACCCCATTTCAAAGACAGACAACACACAAAGAACTCCTTCTTATTGACTCTAGGTGTCAGATTAATATCAAAGATTAATAAAACTAGCCTGTTATTGTATAGGATAAGTATGATAGAATATGCTTGTTGATAAAACTTAATCCACCTATTTTAAACATGAGGTGATTAAATCTACCTTCAGTACCTTCCTGTTGTAGTATTACTCATAGTAGGTTGGCGGGGATACATGTAGACATTTGGCTCTTGAGCTTCCTACAGGTTCTGAATGACTCATGCAGGCCACATGCTAGAAACAGGGTATGTGAAAATGGAACCTGGAGCTGAGTGGTGGTGGCACACACCTTTAATCCCAGCACTTGGGAGGCAGAAGCAGGTGGATCTTTGTGAGTTCGAGGCCAGTCTGGTCTACAAGAGCTAGTTCCAGAACAGGCTCTAAAGCTACAGAGAAACCCTGTCTCGGGGGAAAAAAATAAAGGAAAATGGAACCTGGATCTTGGCAAATTCAACAGTGTAGACAACAGAACCCTAGTTTTGCCAAGAATATTCTATTGCAGGGGTTCATTCTTTCCCCCATCTCAAATTGGTATAAAGGTCTCTTACTATTTTTTTTTTTAAATAAAATCTTGCAGCCAGAGCTCTATATGACATAGATGAGATTGAGCCAAGCATGGGGACTGACTCACAGCACCTGAGAGGCACAAATAGGAAGAATTCTAAGTCATCCTCAGCTACAGAGTACAAGGCTAGCCTGGGCTATATAGAACCGTGTAAGAAACAGGAGGACCTACGTGAAGCAGTTGGCAACTCTCACCCATTAGCAGTTATAGGAGCCAGGCTTTCACTTGTGCTGGTCCAATATGGAATAACTTAGGATTCAAACTTAAGATTTTTCCCCTTAATTTTCTGAAGTTGAATATATTTATAAAATGAAGACCATACTGTGTCTAATTTTGCTTCTTTTTTTATGTTGTATAGATTCCCTTCTCCCCCTGGGCCAATAAATATTTGTAGATTTATTTAATTGTACCTGCATCTGATCCAGACTGCTAGGAGTATGACCTTATGATCACTTTTTTAGTTTAGTTTTTTTCAGACAAGGTCTCACTGGATAGGCTGGATAGCCTGGAACCTTCTGTGTCCTAGGTCAGCCTCAGACTTGTGGCAGAATTTAGAAGGAAGCATCCCTATGCCCAGCCAGCAGAGTCCCCTTTTTTCTGTATTGTGTGTACATGACGTCCTTGAGGGTGAGAGTGAAATTGAGTCTCTCCTCCACCTTTACCTGGGATATAAGGATCAAACTCGGATGGTTGGGCTTGCATGGCAAGCACGTTTACCCACTGGGCATCTCTCCAGCTCTTGAGACCTGTTTTTAAAGGGAAGGGTACTAGTTGGGTTTCAGAGGGGTTTTGGTCTGTCTGTGTTTTGGTTTTGGTTTCTTCATTTTCTTCTTACAATATGTCTGCTGCATGAACATATTTGACAGTGGTAGTATGTCTGTTTTACTTCTAGTTTAAACCCTTAGATGTAGCTGTTTCTCTTGTAGGTAAATACATTGAATAAAGAAGTACAAGCAGAGTTTGCAGAAGTTATGAATGAAATCTGGGCCAATGACCAAATCAGAAGTGCTGTCCTTATTTCATCAAAGCCCGGCTGCTTTGTCGCAGGTGCTGATATCAAGTAAGTTTATCTTGATTAATTACATATTTCTATCTTTAAAAGAAGATAGAAGTAAATTCTCCAAAAGTTTGTTTTTTGAAGTTATTTTCCTGAGTTTAATAAAGCTGATGAAATAAAGGAACTTGTTGCTTAAATCATAGATGACTAAATACAGCCTTTCTTTCTTGCTAGCCAAGAACAAATGCCCAGTTTTCTTCCATCATTCCAGAAAACATTTAAAAATTTGGTGGAAATCCCAATTCGTATAACCACTCTGGAGCACAGTTTGTCAGTACTTAGTAAAATGAAAAATACAAGGGCTAGACTGGTGGGTAAAATACCTGCCGCTAGGCCAATAACCTGAGTTTGATTCACCCACATAAAAGCTGGGCATGGTGAGTTTGATGAATCGCCTTGTCTCAAAAAATAAGAAGTGAAAAAGCCACCTGAAGTTGGCCTCCACATGTGCCTGTACAGTTGAGCAAACATGCAGATACACACACATAAGGAGTGGGAGGCAACAAGTATGTTCCAGCCGCATACTCTCATCTAGGTGTATATACTAAAGAAATCTTAGTCTCTATTCATAAGAATCTGTGTGGAAGAATAGTCATTCCTGTGTGTAGGTAGACATAATGAAGCCTTTGAAACCAGCTACATGTCACTAGGGAAACAGATAGTAAAGACTACAAAACAGCTGAAAGAGATTAACTAGATCCAGAACATCACCCTAGAATTGTCTGATCTGTTAGCCAAAATATTTACCAGGTGATATTAGAGCTTTGTGATCAGTGGTTTGTTAAGGAAGCAAAATAAATTGTGTAACATGTTCCATTTTATGAACTCATTGCCAAATATTGATGTATGCTGAGATAAGCATGTAGTGGGTGAAGTGTTATACAAAGTAGGATCCAGTTTCATCTCTCCTTTTGTGTTCTTTTATGTGGCTGCTACAGCATGCTAGCCTCTTGTACAACTCCGCAAGAAGCAACACGAATATCACAGGAAGGACAGAGAATGTTTGAGAAACTTGAAAAGTCCTCAAAGCCCGTTGTAGCCGCCATCAGTGGATCCTGCTTGGGAGGAGGACTTGAGGTATGGATGAATCCCAGAGCTGTATAGATGCTGTCCCACTCACTGGTAGGATGTGCTGCTGTGACCCTTGGGCTATTGTTTCTCCTGCAGGAAAGTCTTCCGAGTAGGATTGGCTTGATTTTAGCTATCAAACATCTGCATGGGGTTAACTCTTAATTTATGACAAGCAGCAAGTGACACAGAGCACGTGAGCCAAGGAATGCTGTTTCCATTGACAGCTGTGATTTAAACTGCACCATGAAGTCTTTCTCATGGCTGCATACCTGGCTCAGACTCAGGGCAAAGATCAGAAGTGGGATCTGTGTTCGTGTTCTTAAGTCTGGTTGACCTTCAAAGCATAATAATATATTTAAGTCTCGTGAGAGAGAGTTTCTTGTGAATAGTAAAGATGATAAGATTAAAGAGAAGAGATTCTTTTTTGTTTTGTTTTTTTGAGACAGGATCTCACTGTGTAGGCCTGCCTCTGCCTCCAGAGTGCTGGGATCAAAGGTTACCTTCAGGAGAGTTTTAAGGAGAAGAGCGACCTGAAAGGGTTGATAAATCATGACAATGGTAGAAGAGGTAAATGGTAGAGTGCCGGATGTCAGCCTAACAAATCATGGTTTATTTTGTGGGACATTCCTGCTTTATAAATAACATTTAGACCTGCCAACCTAGGTGCTAAATCGTTACAGTTATATTTTCTAACTTCTAATTTTTCTTTCATTTCTCTGAAGCTCGCCTTAGCATGCCAATACAGAGTAGCAACAAAGGACAAAAAAACAGTATTGGGCGTCCCTGAAGTGTTACTGGGACTCTTACCAGGAGCTGGAGGTACCCAGAGACTGCCCAAAATGGTGAGTTTAAGAACACCCAACGCCGTGAACTTGAGCTATACATAAATACCCTTTGGATCTACTCCATCTTCTACAAAGTACTCACTGTAAATTCAGAAGCCAAGTAAGTTAGGAGTATAGAGGATTGTTGAGAGATTTTTTTTCTTCATTCCTGATAGTTTTTCAGTTCTACAGAATTGTTAGTAAAAGATAAAAGTGATAAGCCTTGCTTTTCCAAAACATTAATTTGTTCCTCCTCTCACGGTATCGCCTTAATAGTTTTTCAAAGCCATGGGTTGTAGGTCATAATAAGTATGAGACAGCTTTCTCATGATTCTCTGATTTAGACCATGTCCTTGCTATAGTCAGAGGACCAAAAAAGATCAGTAAGCTTCTGAATTTCTAGGAAAGGAGAAGGAGAGTCATCCCTGGAGGCTGCGGAGGGATTTCCTATCAAAGCAGAGGGCAGAGCCTCGCAGCGCCCAGCACTGTAGACTTCTCAGTGAGAAGGGCACAGTGGAGCAGCTGAGCCTAGAAGCCCACACAAGTGCAAATGGGGAAAGGAAGGTTTTGTTTCATTTGGTTGGTTTTGATTTTGATCAAAAGCTTCATCCTGTAGCCTAGACTGGCCTCAAACTCTTATCTTTCCCCTGCCTCACCCTCCTGAGTCTGAAATAACACATACCAATCTAGTTATCAAAATAAATAATACACATTTCTTTGTAAGAATTGTCTAGAAGATGTCTTGACACAAAAAGTTTTGTTGAATTTCATTTACTTACGTTACTAGGAGTTCTTTCATTTTTGTTTTTATGCTTTTTTTTGTTATTGTTTTTGGTTGCTTGCTTGTTTGTTTTTTTAAGCCAGGGTCTCTTTATGTAGTCCTGACTTCACTATGTAGACCAGGCTGGCCTAGATCTCAGAGATTCTTTTGCCTCTGCCTCCTGAGTACTAGGATTATAGGTGTAAGCCTCCATACCTAGCTGGTTTTGTTTTGTTTGTTGTTGTTGTTTTGTTCTGAATCAGAGTCTTCTCTACAACTCAGACACACCTTGAGTCTACCATTCTCCTGCCTCAGCTTTCCAAGATATGGAACAAACCATACACTTGACTAGAGATCAGTTTTCTACAATACTATATCAGTTGAGCTGCATTGTTAATTCTCAGCATTATTTTTCTGAAAATTGAACCCATGGTCTTATGCATGCCGAGCAAAGAGTACCACTGAGCTACAACCTCAGCCCTAGTTTTAAATACTGTATAAATGATGGAAAACAAATTGAGAATGACAGTCTACAATTTTAGTTCATATAAAATGAATTCTCCACCTCTCCAGTTCCTTATGCTATTGAATTTAAAATATATTATAAAAGCATTTTTTTCTTCAACTGGACATAATCTCAAAACTTAAAAGTGTGTAAGTATATAAAATTTAATTTACTGATAAAAGAACATAAAGCTGTGGTCTACAGAGTTAGTTCTAGGACATCCAGGGCTACACAAAGAAACCCTGTCTTCAAAACAAAACTGGTTTGACTTTTCTCCTTATTTTAGAAAAAATGATTATGTTTATTATTATATTGCATGTTCATGCTCACGTGTGCAAGGGTGCACACATGGAGGTCAGAGGACATGTTTCAGGAATCAGTTCTCTCTTGCCAAGAGAGTTCCAGGAATTAAACTCAGGGTGTCAGCCTTGACAGCAAGCATCTTTACCCACTGAGCCCCTCCCAGCCCCACGTTTCTTCAAAAGTTTGCTCACTTATGATTTGTAAACTAACTTTCACCCTCATTTTCCCCCTGTGCCCTGGCTCTCACTTGCATGTTAGGTGGGTGTTCCTGCTGCGTTTGACATGATGCTGACTGGTAGAAACATTCGTGCAGACAGAGCAAAGAAAATGGGATTGGTTGACCAGTTGGTGGAACCCCTGGGTAAGTGTTAGAATGACTCAGAATTGGGTCTTATAGAGTTGTTTATTTCCTGAAGGATTTGATCACTTGAATATTGGTTAGGATGAAACTCAAAACTCTTAAGAAGTAACGGTATTTTAGGAGTGACATTTTCTGAGAGCTAATACTAAATCATTTTTTCTTTTGGTTTTTCGAGACAGGGTTTCTCTGTAGCTTTGGAGTATGTCCTGGAACTAGCTCTTGTAGCCCAGGCTGGCCTCAGACTTACAGAGATCCGCCTACCTCTGCCTCCCAAGTGCTGGGATTAAAGGCATATGCCACCACTGCCCGGCTAATACTAAATCATTTTAACCACCACCCTGGTTTCTATTTATTTTTTGATTATATGGATATCAGGAATATAGGAATCAGTTCAATCATTAGTGTTTAATTATTAATTAGCTGTTATTACTGTCCATGTGTAAGCCTCCCTTAGTCCCTGGTGGGAGGATCTTTGCTTTATTTATTGTTTTTATTTTTGTTTGGGGCATGTGGGATCAAACCAGGGTCTTCTGCACGCTGGGCCAGTACTCTATCACTGAGCTACATCCCCACCCTGTGTTTTAATAATAATAAGCACAGGAAAGAGCCAACCTCAAAATGTTAATATATGGTATCTACTTATGTGCTACTTTCATGCAATTTCTGCTAGCAGTAGAAACCTCTAAAATGTACATTCATCTCCTGGTATGTCTTAAATATCATTATTAAGCTATTACTTAAGGCTCAGTGTGGTGGTTTATGCTTGTAATCCAGCATTTAAAGATTGAAACAAATGAATCATGAGTTTCAGCCACCTTAGGCCACATAGTGTAGAAAGTTCTAAGCCAGAGCTGCATAGTGAGACCATACGTCAAGAAAATAAACAGGAGCTATTGAGATGCCCAGGGACCTGAGTTTAATTTCTAGGATCCACATGGCTAGAATAATTTTCTTAACAAACGGTGCAGAACTTTGGGTACTGGTAGCAAAAGAAAAAAGGCACTGCATGTAAATTCTAACTTAAAGTGAACCATAGACCAATGTCCAAGAGACAAAACCAGAACACTTTCAGAAGAGAGCAAAGGAGGAAATCTTTGTGCTTTTTAAATCAGAAAGGTGTTAGATACCAAGCCAGTAGCATGATCCACAAAAATCTCCAAAATACCAAAATAATAAAAATCTCTAGGGGCAGAGAGAGATGGCCTAGCTGGTAAAGACATTTGCCACACAAATCTGGTGACCTGAATTTGACCTTGGAAACAATATAAAGTTTTGAAGGAAAGAACGAACTCCACAAAATTATCCTTTGACCACCACATGGGAGCCATGGCATGTGAGCACATGATACATGTATACAAACACACACACACACAGACAAACTAATGGTGATATTGAGCTAGCCTTTGCCCCTGAAGTAAACTCCACTTAAAGATAACGCATTATCCTTTTTACAAATTGCTGGCTTGATCACCTAAAAAAATTTGTTTAAAGATTTATTTATTTATTTATTGTGTATACAGCATCCTGCCTCCATGTTCAGAAGAGGGCACCAAATCTCATTACAGATGGTTGTGAATGACCATGTGGTTGCTGGGAATTAAACTCAGGACCTCTGGAAGAGCAGTCAGTGCTCTTAACCTCTGAGCCATCTCTTCAGTCCTAATCACCTAAAATTTTATAAGTGATTTTTTTGCCTGGCAAAGAAAGTTAATGGTGTCGTGGCTAATTATGTTTCCTTACAGTATTTGCATGATGTTAGTATCAGGGTAATGCTGGCCTCATAAAATTAGTTGTGGAATATCTCTTTCTCTTGTTTTCTGGAAATTTTTGTATAGAATTGATATTTCTTCTTACTTAAATACCTAACATACTTAACCATAAAGCCATATATGGGGTTGGTGGATTGTTATTTTTTCTTTTGTTTTGGTTTTTGTTCTGACTAAGATAGTTTTAGGGTTTGTTTCGGGTTTCTTTGTTGTTTGTTTAATTTTTTATTATTTTAGACTTACTTATTTTCTTATGAATGTTTTGCTTGCGTGTATTTCTGTGCACATGTGTGACTGGTACCCGCAGGGGTCAGAAGAGAGCAACTGGACTATAATTGTAAACCACTGTGTGGGTGCTCGGACTCAAACCCCGTTCCTCTGCAAGAACAGCGAGTGCTCTCAACCGCTGAGCCAGCACTCTAGCCCCTTGTTTTTGTTTTTTGAGGTTTTGTGTATGTGTGTGTGTCTGCCTGTCTGTCTGTCTGTCTATGTATGAGTATCCTATCGTGTGTGTTCAGGTACCTCTGGGGGCCAGAAGAGGGCATTGGCTCCCATGAAGCCAGAGTTACACGTGGTTGTGAGGGGTCACCTGACTGCTGAGGAAGCCTTGAACAAGCAGACTTTGTGGAGCCTGGCAGAGGAAATGGCATGGAAGTAGGGGAAAGTCTTTAAGATTCGTTTTCTCTTAGTACAGCTAATGTCCTAAGGCCAAGAGACCTAGGATGGAAAGTATACGGGCTAGGAATGGACATATGAGTGAGACCATTGCCATCCCAGGAGACCTGTCCTTATCTGTACCTCCCTCGAGGACTGTGGTGCACTGGCCACACTCCAAGTGTGGCATAAGGAAGGCAGTGTTTCCCATGCCATCTTCCCAGTGTCACATTCTTACCCTCAGGGAGAACCTCAGCTGGTCATAGTTCTTCACCTAGTAGGATGGCCTTTGTTCCTAAAAGGTGTAGGCCACCAGCCATCCTGTGCTGGTGTTCTTTTTGTGCTTCTGGAGTGGTCTTTCGTGGATGTGCTGCACAGTGCTGGCCAAAGCTGGCCCCCTGGGTAGACCTGTTGTTACTGCATGCTCAGCAGCATTCTGCGTACAGTCTGGTGACCGTGGCCACCCTGTCAGATTATGATGCTATTGACTTTTCTGGATTCTCTGAGTCTTGGCCATGCGCCACACCGCCTAGCTAGAGTCTACCTCTGAGGGGAGGGTGATGGGGAGCACGTGTCAAATGATCCCAAGATAACTTCGAATAGAGTATTTTAAGGTTTTTCTTTATTAAAAGAGAACTCACAGATCACAGTGAGGAAATAGGAATGGGGTCCAACATCCAGGTGTGGCTCATGAGAAGAAGAAAGCAAGTGGGGCGGATTGCAGATTTTTGGTACCCTAAGTCACGCCTCAAACTACTCCAGCCTCTTAAAGCCATTGGCTGAAGGAGGTTCCCCATCATCTCCCCTTTTTGTCTAAATAAGAGAGTTCCAAACCCAATACAAAACTATATATGCTAAAAACAGATATCAAGTATAAAAATTAGAATTACAAACCAGCATAAACAATATTAAGCAAGGAGCATATGCTAATTGTTTTAATAATCATTCTAGACTAAGGAGTCTAATGGTTTGGCTAGATCATAAGAGGAAGGTAACTATGACTATCTAGTCTTTAACCCCATCGAAGGCCTAAGAAGGGAGATAATATTACTTGAGTAGGCGGGAAGTATAACTAAGCAGCTTTCAAAATGTGTAGTAGATAACAGAGACAACTGGCTACCTGAGCAATCACCCAAAGTCTCATTTGTAATTTGAAGCAACCAACTTTGGCTAAGGCCTAGAGTAACTGATAGACCATTTTTAGAGGCAGGAAAATTTTTTAAAACTGTCTTACCCAGTCTTGGCAAAGTTTAGCAGTCTTTTTTTTTTTTTTTTTTTTTTTTTTTTTTTTTTTTTTTTTGCTTGTCCAATCTAGACACCATGCACTTTGTCAGTGGTTGAGGCATGGGCAGTGCCTTGCCCAAAGACCAATTATGCCAAGAAAAAAACAAGCTCCAAGTGGAGTTTCTTTGGTGCGCAACATTTTCTTGGGAATATATCAGTGCTGTCAGGAGCAATTGTGTCTCATGTCAACAGAACCCTAAGTTATTTAAATGCCATGTTTTACAGATTTTTGAAGTGGTTGAAGATTACCTATCTATGTAGAATACAATCTCTATGTATTTAAGAACCTAATTAGCCTGACTGTAAGTATGACAAACATGAATGACTATTGACCTATAATACTTAATACCTATATAACTAAGACTTTATATCAGTGATATTAAACAATCTTTAAACAATTGTACAGTGAATAAGGACAATGACCTCAAAATGTAAACAATGTGTAAGTATCTTGATCAGAGGTAAAAATATGCAATATGATAAATATATCCTAAAATTGTATCAGTATACAAAATGTCTTAAACAGAGATAGAAACATGCATGCATACAATCTGACAAAATAACTTTGCACAGATGTACAAATATTGCAAACAGAAATAGGGGTATATTTAATATAACAAATATAATTCGAATTTGTATCAAAATACAAGAATCTATACCAGTAAACTGTCCATAAATAATAGCTCACAAGTATTTACTCTGTTATTCACTATTATTATTGGTGTGAACAAGCTCACACTAATCTAATCTATTCCCCATCAGGAAGGAATAGCTGAGTCACAAGGCAATAAGCTTTGTGAGCAATCTATCACTTTATCTCTAAAGCTAAAACACAAGAGAGTAATTTGATTTGGGGGGCTGGAGAGATGGCTCAGTGGGTTAAGAGCACTTGACTGCTCTTTCAGAGGTCCTGAGATCAACTCCCAGTAACCACATGGTAGCTCACAATCACCCGTAATGGGGTCAGATTCCTTTTTCTGGTGTATATGAAGACAGAGCACTCATGTACATAAAATACATGAATAAATAAGTCTTTAAAAAAAAAGAAGAAGAGATTTGAAAAGCCAGATATGTTGGTTTGTTCCTGTAATCCCAGTGCCTACAAGGTTGAGACAGGAAGATTACCATGAGCTTTAGGCCAGTCTAGGCTACACAGTAAGATTTTGGAGCAGGCAAGGGGGATGAGGGTGGAGAGAAACCTCTGATTTATTCTTAACTGCAGGTTTGGAAAGTGTCATCCTCCTGCCTTCGCCTCTCTAGTGCCCCCTGCCCTAACTCCAATTATTTTTAAATTGTTACACGCTATTCAGGAAAAGGATGACAAAACCAAGCTAACGTGCTTACAACTCTTGTCAAGGCACCTCCCCAATCTAGTTACCAACCCTGAAACTCCAGTTAAAGCTGCTTCCAGGCTCCTCGCTGTCCCTAAAGCTGATAGTCACGTTCCGACATCTTCCCTGCAGCTGGCTACTGCCCACTCCTGCTCCCTTCCTCAGCAACTTACAGTTATGCCTGCTCTTGTGAGTCTTTCCTTACACACACACACACACACACACACACACACACACACCTGCCCCACTGTTCTCTCTCAGGGTAGGATGCATGCCTTGTTTGCCCTTCTTATCTGTGGGAAAGCCACCTCTGGCTGTTTCTAAGACCTTGCACAGTGTCTGGTATGCAAGAGGCCCTTAGTGAGCTTTCATTGAGATAAGATGGATCACAAGAGAATAAAGATACACACATCGCTGACATCAGCAGTGCTAAGGCAATATTCATGCTCATTCATTCACTTTGGAATGACATATTAGGAAATAACCCAAGAGTGGGGAAAAACTTGTTGCAAAAGTAAAAGGGACTCCGTGACATTGTGAAATGTCTATCTGATATACGCTAATGGGAAACTGCTAGCTGAGGAACCCCAGATAGCATCAGGATAAGGGTTGGCCACCAGCAAGATGGAGACATGGAGAGAGGTGGGGCTTTTTGCTTCTACCATCAACCTCCAGGGAGGGGAGGCAGTACAGGCTCATCACTGATGGCCGGTGATTCAATCAATCATGTCTACTAGTGAAACTTCCTTTAAAACTCCAAAGGGCTGGGTTTGGGAAGCTTCTAGATTGCTATACATGTGGAGGTCCTGCCGTTGGTATACTAGAAGAGAAGGGGGAGCTGTGAATGCCTTCCCACATCTCATGTCTCCTGTGTCTCTTCATTGTACAGACCACTAACATGGATAAAAGGAAATCAAGTGTATCTCTGAGTCGTATGGACATCTCCAGCAAATTAATTGAATCCAAGGAAGATGTCATGGGAATCTTGGATAACTGGTTAGTCAAAAGCATGAGCAAAACAAACCGGGGCCTGAGATTGGCACTAGGAGTGGGCAGCAGCCTCATAGGGTGAACCCCGGGGGTCCAAGTGTATCTTCAGGCAGATAGGGTCAGAAGTGAATGGGTTTAGAAGACAGCCCACCAGTGTCAGCTGCAGAACCTGTTGCAGAAATGAATGCCTGTTGATGTGGGGGAGAACACCCTGCCCATCTGATGTCAGAAGTGTTGATTGCTGGGAGGATAGGAAAAGCCACTCTGCTTTTCCTATAGCATTTAGCGAGTTATATTTATTTATTTATTCATTCATTCATTTTGGGTTTTTTAGAGACAGGGTTTCTCTGTGGCTTTGGAGCCTGTCTGGAACTAGCTCTTGTAGACCAGGCTGGCCTCGAATTCACAGAGATCCGCCTGCCTCTGCCTCCTGAGTGCTGGGATTAAAGGTGTGTCCCGCCACCGCCTGGCTGCAAGTCATTTTTATAAGTGTGGAAGACAGAAGCAATCAAATGCCCAGTTAAATGAAAACCCAAACTGTAGTAAAGTAATGTAATAAAGTATACAGTCCCTTTTAAAAGGTAAGTAAATTAGGGTCAAGGACAGGTAATAAACAGTTTGGTGTATGACCTTGGGAACTGTCTGCCTCCAAATTGGGATGATGACAGCAACCCAAAGAGTGGTATATGCAAGTCTAGCGTGAGAAGAATGTCAGCGTGGCTGACAACTGCCCGTTTACTCAGAGTCCACACCTTCCACCCATCAAACTTCTTTCTGCTTGTCTATCATCTATTTTGCGATTCTAAGGCTTCAGCAAAATTGGTACAAACCTGAGTTTGGAGCGCCACCTAGTGCTAGAACAACAGACGTGACTACGTGCTCAGATAAAGCATAGAACAAAACCAGGCTCTGGGAAATTTATGTATACTCTGCCCTTATTCTATTATTGTTAACAGTGTGTGTGTGTGTGTGTGTGTGTGTTCACATGCCTACCACAACACAGAGTTCTCTCCTTCCACTGAGTGGCTCAGAGGATTGAACTCAGGTCATTAGGCTTGGAATATAATCACCTTTATCAGTTGAGCCATTTTGCTGGCCCCCTTCTTATTACCAATTTCTACTTCTCAATAAATACTCTCTAACCGTGAAAATTATGGCTTGATTGCTTGACTGTAGTCTAGATTGTAAAGTAGTTAAACGGTGATTTGCACTTGAGTGTTGGTAAGAATGGAAGAAAATTGGGATCCATGCAGTATGAGTAGAAATGTAAAATGGAACCATTTACATCACAAAACATTTATATTCAGTGTGTGTGCGGGGAAATGTTTGCTAACTCCTCAAAAATGTAAGCATAAACCGAGCAGTGGTAGTGCACACCTTTAATTCCAGCACTTGGGAGGCAGCGGCAGGTGGATCTCAAGAGTTTGACACCAGCCTGACCTACAGAGAGAGTTCTGGGACAGCCAGGGCAACACAGAGAAACCCTGTCTCGAACACACACACACACACACACACACACACACACACGTGAGCCTAGAATCTCCATATGACCCCTCTGTCCCACTCCTAGCTATACATTCCAGAGCATGTCACAAATGCTGTGGGAGGTCACAAAGCAACTCTCAGAACCTGGCTCCTTGACATCTGAAGCTCCTGAGACATCCCTCAGAACTCAGGTCCCTCCCATTTCCCCTTGCATCTCCCATCCCAGTGCTGAAGGAGGCTTTGTATCAAGCTTCATTCCTGCCTGAAGTTCAGACCCACCCAGGAAGAAGCAGTCACCACCACCCTTCCTCTGACCTTCTGTTACCTACACTGCATCAGAAGAGAGACTGAAGATTGCCAGCACACCTGGAAAACCCCAGGCCCAGCCTTTTCCTCCGGTGCTCTCAGAATCATTCACACGCGGTTGTCCATTCCGCAGAACAAACAGACTTTGTCCCAGGCCCTCATATGTTCCCCAAGTCTTAAAAATCATGTACCGTCCTCCTGACATGCCCTACCTCTCTGTTCCCTATAAAAAGATGGGTATGTAAACTCGTGGGTGCTTTGACTCAGGAGCTAAAACACACACCTGGAATAGTTCTCATTTAGCCAATCCTTGCAGATTATAAATCTGTTTGATGTATGTAAGTGCTCTATTTGCATGTATGCCTGCATGACAGAAGAGAGCATCATGTAAGTCTCCATGTTGTTACCAGGAATTGAACTCAGGGCCTCTGAGTAATTTTTCTAGTGCCTGTTTGTTTTGAATATGGAGTCTCTGTACATAGCTCTGGCTGCCCTGGAACTTACCATGTAGACGAGATGGGCTTCTAACTCACAGAGATCCGCCCCACCTGCCTTTGCCTCCCAAGTGCTGTGATAAAAGGGGCACAGCACTGATGGAGGAAGGTCATTGGTTAAAAAATAAAGAAACTGCTTGGCCTCATAGGTTAAAACATAGGTGGGTGGAGTAAACAGAACAGAACGCTGGGAGGAAGAGGAAGTGAGCTCAGACTCGATAGCTCTCCTCTCTGGGGCAGACGCGATGCAGCCAGCCACCAGGTCAGACATGCTGAATCTTTCCCGGTAAGACTGGTGCTACACAGATTACTAAAAATGGGTTAGGCAAAATATGAGAATTAGCCCATAAGAGGCTAGAGCTAGTGGGCCAAGCAGTGTTTAAAAGAATACAATTTGTGTGTTGTTATTTCGGGTAAAGCTAGCCAGTGGCTGGGAGCTGGGTGGCAGGAACGCAGCCTGCAGCTCCCTACAACAATGCTTGGCTTAGATGTATTTTAATGCATTTTATTTTATTTTTATATGTATGTGTGTATGTCTGCTTGTCTGTATGTGCACCATGTGTGTGCAGTGCCATGGGCCAGAAGAGGGCATTGGATCTTCTGGAACTGGAGTTACAGGTGATCATAAACTGTAGCTGCTGGGAGTCTCACTCAATCTTATGCAAGAGCAGCAAGTGCTCTTTACCCTGAGCCTTCTCTCCAGCCCCTTAATACTTTCTCTCTCTGTCTCTGTTTCTCTGTCTCTGTCTCTATCTCTCTCTCTCTCTCTCTCTCTCTCTCTCTCTCTCTCTCATTTATCAAAATAGGGCTTCTTTGTGTAACAACCCTGACTGTCCTGGATCTCACTCTGTAGACCAGGCTGTCCTCAAACTCACAGAGATCCACCTGCCTCTGCGACCTGAGTGCTGGAATTAAAGGTGTGTGTCATGCTTGGCTTCCCTTAATACTTTCTCTAGTATTAATTTTTCATTTTAATCCTCAGAATGGGAGCATATTCAAGGTGACTTCCTCGATCCTATTCACATCCATATTTAAACTTAATTTGTATGTTTCTTTTTGGAAAAAAAAAGAAAATGAAAAACAAACAAACCAAAAAACCACCCTCTTATGTTTGGGCAAAGGGTGGCATACAATTTACATCTCATGTGCTTTGCTTAATATTTTATGAATATTACTCAACTGCAATGTACAGATCTCGTCTTCACTGACAGCTGTGCGTGCACATGTATGATAACTGACCTGACCAATTTCTTATTTGGATCATCAAATAAGAATATTTTGCCATTGCCAATAACGAAGCAATGATTATGCACATTATCTCAGTGTTTCTTTTGATAAATATGTAGAAATTTAGATCTTGGTCAAAGGTTAAATACAAATATTATTTTGCTCTATGTTGTAAACTTTTCTTCCATTGGTTTTGTACTGTTTGCTTTTCACACTTGAAGTTTGAATTGATGTGGCTCCATACAGCCCCCCCCCCAGAGAGTTTTGTCTAGCTTCATTCAATTTCTGTGTAATTTTCTTTTATAATATATTAGTTATTGATTTTGAAGAAGTGGGATGGTACCCAGGGCTTCACACATGCTATGCAAGTGTTCTGCCCCCGAGCCACTCCCCAGCCTGTGTCTCTATGATGTGAGATAGAGGAGCATCTTTCTCTCTCCTCCATCTCCCTCCCCTCTCTACTTGCCCCCTTACCCCTTCTTTCAGTTGTCCTGGACCTCCCCATGACAATCGACTAGCCTCAGATTCATAATGGCCCCTTCCTTCCTGCCTCCAGCATGCTTGGATTGCAGACTTCTGCCACCATGCCCAGCATTTACTTCTTTTTCCACCAGGCTTTGAAATCTCCGCTGACTCCTTTGGCCTTGAGTTCTTTACAAAGCCATTAGTGTTCTATTTCTGATGCATGTTGTAAATATTTTCTCTTGGCTTTAGCCTGCAAGAAGTCTGCTTCAGTTTTTCCGAGGTTGAATGTGTCAATCTCTCCATTGCCATCTGGGGCTTGAAGCACAGAAAGCTCCTCCCACACTCATGTTGGTATGGCACCTCTGCTTCTTGCAGTTCTTAGGAACTTTGTTTATTCTTGTGAAAGCAGCAAGGCATGAACGCATTTATATTTTTCCAGGCAATTACCTAAAATTGTCTTAGTTGCTTTTCTATTGCTGTGGCTAAGCACCAGGACCAAGGCGACTTCTAAAAGAAAGCATTTAATTGGAGGCCTGGTTACAGTTTCAGAGAGGGCATCCATGGCGACCAGAGCAGGGACAATGGTATTTGACTGGGAAGTCGGGCATGGTGCTGGAGCAGTAGCTGAGAGCTTACATCTTTTTATTATTATTATTATTATTATTATTATTATTATTATTATTATTATTATTATTTTGAGACAGAGTTTCTCTGTGTAGCCCTGGCTGTCCTGGAACTCTCTGTAGACTAGGCTGACCTCGAACTCACAGAGATCCACCTGCCTCTGTTTTCCTGAGTGCTAGGATTAAAGGCTTGCACTAACACCAGCCAGCTGAGAGCTTACATCTTGAGACAACAACCATGAAACAGACAGTGTTAACTGGGAATGGCATGGACTTTTGAAACTGATTCAAAGTCTACCACCAGTGAGATGCCTCCTCCAACAGGGCTCTCGCAATTCTTTCCAAACTGTCCCACTAACTGTGGAACAAGCATTCAAATAACGTGAGCCTATTGGGGCCATTCTCACCCAAACTTCCACACCAACTGTCTCAGTTTAATTTTGAAGTATAGCTTGCCTTGAGTGATGAAGGATATTACATGTGCCATATATTCAAGCTCCATGTGCACTGGTCCAATAACAATAGTGAGTTTACATGTACATTTTTTTAATGTTAGAAGCAGTCTGGATTTCCTATTTTTTCCACTGGCCTGCTTCTTGATGCACTGGTTCCATGAACTTAATGATAGAGGATTTATGGCATGTTTAATATTTGGAAGGATTAGTCCTCCGTTCATTAAATATTAAGGGCTTTCCTAAGCTATAAATATGGATTTATTTCTTCATTGGAACTTAAAAGTCAATCATGTAAACTTCAAAATAACTTTGTTAGTGATACTTAATGGGATAAATAGCTAATAATATAACTCAGATTTAATTGGCTTCTTTCCTACAGGCAATGTGATAAATGGCATATAGCATCTGTCTCAGGCTTTCTGTTGCCGCGATAAAACACCATAACCAAAAGTAGCATGGCAAGAGAAGTATTTATTTCCTCCATCACTGAGGGAGGTCAGGGCGACAACTGAAGCAGAAACCATAGAGAACGTGGCTCCCTGGATGGCTCCCCATGGCCCGCTCGGCTTGCTCTCCATCCCCCATCACTCACGCACTAGTGATAAAGGGAATCCCTTTAAAAAGTGGACAAAAAGTTTCTTGTATACACTCTTCCAAGGGTGTGTGTGACAATCTCATACCTTAGAAGGACAGAGACCCTGGAGCAGAATTGGACACCACCCCTGCCTTCAGCAAGACTGTAGCTGGTGGATGAGTCCCAGTACTTAGCTCCTCCCACATGTATGGGATCTATGGCTTTATGGATCCCTCAAGGGTCAAATAAAAAACTTGGAGGCAGCTGGGTGGTGGTGGCATACGCCTTTAATCCCAGCACTTGGGAGGCAGAGGCAGGCAGATCTCTGTGAGTTCCTAGGCCAACCTGGTCTACAAGAGCTAGTTGCAGGACAGGCTCCCAAGCTACAGAGAAGAGAAACCTTGTCTTGAAAAACAAAACAAAAAGAATTGTAAAAACAAACAAAAAAACCTTGGAGGCTGGAGAGATGCTGTAGCAGTTAAGAGCAAAGGGACACTTGGCCCACTAGAGCATGTGACTCTGACAGGCCTTGCCTTTCTCCCCGGTTCCCTCTGTCTTGCTAAAAAACCATTAGATTACATTCCTAAAGCAAAACCGTGAGGGTCCTTTCCTTTATTCGGATACTTTCCTATGCCTGGCTGAGGATGAGTTCCAAAGTCCAGCAATCAAAAGCCCCGTTTGGTTCACCTAATGAACATGCCCAGTCAAGATGTCCCACTACATCCTAGCCCACTCTAACACAGACCTCCCCTTTTTCTCCTCTCAAAACTTCACCTGCAAGGTCAAACAGGTGTTTGGATGTGGTTTGGGCCTAATCTGGGGTCCCAGAGGAAGACCCTACTGTTCAGTATCCTTCAAAGAACACTTGTTTGCTCTTCCAGAGAACCCAGGTTCATTGGCAGCACCCACAGGGCAGATAACAACTGTCAGTAGCTCCAGTTCCAGAGGATGGATGCCCTCTTCTGGCCCCTGAGTTCACTGCATACATGTGGTACACAGAGACACATGCCAGCAAAGTACCCATACATGTTAAAAATACAAGTAAATAAATTAAAAAAATAAAGTAGACTGTTATACCTGAAAATTGTGAGGAGAAAGGCCAAATCCACAATTATCTAATTAAAGCAAAGTTTAATAAATATTGGCCAGAAAGATGGACACTGGCCAGGTCCATAACCAGAATTCCCAGAGAATGGTGCTGAATTAGGTTAATCAGGTGCTCATAAAGGCAAAATGAACAAGGTTACTACGTCCAATCAGGGGAAAGAACACCTCCTGAGCACTTCCTGCAGGTGCAACTCCTGCCGGCCTGGTGATCAAGCACATCCTGAGCAGTTGGGGCGACCAGTTTTGTTTACTGAAGCGAAAAAACAACAGCCCCAGCATTCCAGGAAGTTATCTGTCCTTGGGCAAGTGAAGCTTACAAACATTAACTCTCTCAATAATATGATCAAAACCAAGAAAGATTGTTAAAGGCTCTTCTCATCAAACAAATGATCTGCGCTTAGGTGTCCAGCGTCGTTCCCTCCCCCCCATGATATTTATTGAGCTCTACATTTTTCTCTGCTCCTCTCCCTGCCTCTCCCCTCCCCCCTTCAGTCCTCCCCCAAGGTCCCCATGTTCCCAATTTACTCAGGAGATCTTGTCTTTTTCTACTTTCTACTTCCCATGTAGATTAGATCTGTATAAGTCTCTCTAAGTGTCCTGATTGTTGTCTAAGTTCTCTGGGATTGTGATTTGTAGGCTGGCTTTCTTTGCTTTATGTTTAAAAACCACCTATGAGTGAGTACATGTGATAATTGTCTTTCTGGGTCTGGGTTACCTCACTCAAAATAATGTTTTCTAGCTCCATCCATTTTCCTGCAAAATTCAATCTGTCGTTATTTGTTTCTGCTGTGTAGTACTCCATTGTGTAAATGTACCACATTTTCCTTATCCATTCTTCGATCGAGGGGCATTTAGGTTGTTTCCAGGTTCTGGCTATGACAAACAAAGCTGCTATGAACATAGTTGAGCACATGTCCTTGTGGCATGATTGAGCATTCCTTGGATATATACCCAAAAGTGGTATTATTGGGTCTTGAGGAAGGTTGTTTCCTAATTTTCTGAGAAATCACCACACTGACATCCAAGGGGTTGTACAAGCTTGCATTCCCACCAGCAATGCAGAAGTGTTCCCTTTTCCCCACAACCTCTCCAGCATAACTTGTCATCAGTGTTTTTGATCTTGGCCATTCTTACAGGTGTAAGATGGAATCTCAGAGTTGTTTTGATTTGCATTTCTGTGATGACTAAGGATGTTGAACATTTCCTTAAGTGTCTTTCAGCCATTTTAGGTTCCTCTGTTGAGAGTTCTCTGTTTAGGTCTGTACTCCATTTTTTTATTGGATTATGTGATCTTTTGGTGTCCAATTTCTTGAGTTCTTTGTATATTTTGGATATCAGACCTCTGTCTGATGTGAAGTTAGTGAAGATCTTTTCCCATTCTGTAGGCTGTCGTTTTGTCTTGTTGACTGCGTCCTTTGCTTTACAGAAGCTTTTCAGTTTCAGGAGGTCCCATTTAGTAATTGTTTCTCTCAGTGTGCTACTCGGGTTCTATTTAGGAAGTGGTTCCCTGTGCCAATGCGTTCAAGTGTACTTCCCACTTTCTCTTCTATAAGGTTCAGTGTGGCTGGCTTTATGTTGAGGTCTTTGATCCATTTGGACTTGAGTTTTGTGCTTGGTGATAGATGTGGGTCTATTTTCATTCTTCTACATGTTGATATCCAGTTATGCCAGCACCACTTGTTAAATATGCTTTCTTTTTTCCATTTGATATTTTTTTGCTTCTTTATCGAATATCAGGTGTTCTAAGATGTATGGATTGATATCCGGGTCTTCTATTCAGTTCCATTGGTCCTTCTGTCTGTTCTTATGCCAGTATCAGGCTGTTTTCAGTACTGTAAATTTGTTTTTTTAAAAATTTTATTCATTTTTTAATGAGGAGTACATCATTAAATGTCATACAGTGTTAGAAGAGGGCATCGGATTATGAGCCACTACGTAGTTGCTGGGAATTGCACTCTGGACCTATGGAAGAGCAGCCAGTGCTCTTTCTCCGGGCCATCTCTCTCTTCAGCCCCGAGGTGGCTGCTGTTTTAGCCCAGGTTTTCTGTTCTAACATGGCTCTTTCACCCGCTGCTCTCCCAGCCCCTAACTTCCAGCGCTCCCGTGTGTCTGTATTTCAGAAGTTCCAGCATGAGCTAAGCACCAAGTGGGTGTTGAATACAGTGAGTACCGGGGCCGACGTGCTGCTGGGGAAGACCTTACAGAACCACATGCTGGACTTCCACATCGCCAACTCCAAGCTCTTTTGGAAGGCACTGGCCATGTTGCAAGTGGGAGCGTGACAGGAGTCCCGCAAACCCAGACTGCCATAGAAGATGTTTTTTTGCAATGTTGGGGAGGGGTGTAGGGTTAAGTGCTAGATTTTCACAGGCATGTCTTTCTCGGGCATATTATCCGGTCTTCATTGCATGCACACAAAGGTGCAGGAGTGTGATACTGTACCTCCCAGTTGGCAGTCTTTAGGTTTCAAGGTGCAATAGAAACCCAACTAGTAGCTGGGCAGTGGTGGCAGACGCCTTTAATCCCAGCACTCAGGAGGCAGAGACAGGCAGGTGTCTGTGAGTTCGAGGCCAGCCTGGTCTGCATAAGTGAGTTCCAGGACTTAGAACTGAATAGTTCTAAGACAGTAACCCCAGTGGGAAGGAGTCTTTCTGTTCCTCATAACACCGCTAGCATCTGGCTGAGGGCTCTTGTTGCCTTGTCTTGGGTCATGTGCACAACTTTGAACCAATCACTGCCCTCCAGGGAGAAAGGGCACCTGCTCATCTGCTTTGTGTGTACTTTCAAGAATCTGGTGGGGCAGGATGGCTTGATTATATCTACGGTCTCAGAATGGAGACCAACAGTTATCCAGGAAAAGAAAGGGGCCAATGCCCAAATGGAGGGAGAATGGATGCTGGGCAGAGATCATGATGGACAGCCTTGAAGGTTGCTATCCTTTATCATCGATCTACATGGGGTCTTTGGATCACAGTTGTAAATCTCACCAACTTCCCATTCATTAACTCCTTTAACTCACTTTTCCTTTACACCTTGTGATTATGGGGTTGCCAGGAGAGACAAACTCTCCACAGTGTCTTCGGCCAGTCTTCAGGATCCTAGCTGCCCTGCCCCCCCCCCCCCCCTTCTCCAATTGCTTTCTTCTGTGACACTATTCTCAGTTCTCCTTGCCCTCCATCCCAACACCGACCTTACTACTACTCCCACAGCGGTTCTCTGGACAGTACAAGGCTCGCTGCATCGAGAGCCTCCTCCAAGCAGTCCATTTTCCTCAACCACTGTCAGATGATGTCCGGGCTGCTCCCATCTCCCACTACGTCCAGGTTGCCCACGAAAAGGGAAATGTATCCTTTCTTTCCCCTTGCTGGCCGTTCCACAAACTCTTTCTGAGGATCTTAAAAATCTAAGGAACTTGGTATGACACCAGATTTACAAAGCTCAGAGATCAGTGCCACGGGGAGCTCCCATTAGGAGGGGTAGGTGGATGGGGTGGGGATGGGGTGAGGATGCATGACAGTGGCAGAAACTACAGAGGTAAAAACGACATCAACAAAACGGCTTCTGTTCTGCCTTGGAGGGGCATCAAGAAGGACTGAGAGAAGGGTCTTAGCACAGGAATTTTCCAGCTTAAGTGAAGGTTTTTTTGTTTGTTTGTTTTTCAAGACAGTGCTTCTCTGTAGCTTTGGAGCCTGTCCTGGCACTCGCTCTGTAGACCAGGTTGGTCTCGAACTCAGAGATCCACCTGCCTCTGCCTCCCACGTGCTGGGATTAAAGGCGTGCACCACCACAGACCCGCCATCTTCCTATTCTTTTACCCAACCTAACTCCTGTGCCCAATTCTTGTCTCCTCCAGGGTTCTTTCTCAAATGACCTTACATTTTCTCCAGCTCGCCCTGCCCCTTCCCACAGGTGATCGCCACAGCCTTGCTGAGCCTTTTACAACGCTGCTCCATCACAGAGGCTAAGGCACGCCTGGCTGCAGCTCCTTCCGTCTATGAGGTTATCAGGAGCGCCCTCTCTGGGCCGGGTCAGAAGCGTACCACCCGAGCACTTGCGGACCCAACAGCCTATAGTGCAGTAAATTGATGTTTCTGGGACCATGAAGAGCCTCTGCCATCGGTCCAGTCCCACGAAGACTTGTGCCAGCGATACACGTGGTGGTGGGACAAACCCAATTTCTGGGGGTGGGGGTGGGGGCATTAACAGCCCGGGATCGGGGAAGAGTCACTGACATCTTCTGATCTCAGAAATAAAACTGATTGTCTTGTTTTGGAACCTAACCTTGCCAGCACTTGGGAGGCAGAGGCAGGCGGATCTCTGTGAGTTCGAGGCCAGCCTGGTCTAGAAGAGCTAGTTCCAGGACAGGAACCAAAAAGCTACGGAGAAACCCTGTCTCGAAAAAAAAAAAATTCCCCCCCTGAACCCTCAAGGGACATGCTGACATCATAATGTAAATGACAGGGCCTAAAAGCTCCTTGTTAGGCTGGAGGTGGCCCAGAGGTGGGGAATGAAGGCTGCTCTTGCAGAGACTCAAGTTCAGTACCCGGCACCCATGTTGTGTGGTCCTCAAACACCTGTCCCTGCAGATTCCCTCTCGGCCCCTCTCCATAGCACCTGCACTCATACGTGCATACGCATACACACACAATTTAAAATAGTAAGAAAAGCAAATCTTGTTTGCACTGCCTTGACTCTAGGGAAGATGGAGTGATGGGTGGTATAATGACTGATCTGGGCAATGAGACCGTCGATCCTCTCTTAAGGCCACTGCTCAGAGTGATGTGTGTCGGGGCAACAGCAACTAGGAAATAATATGGAGACCTGCAAACCTAGAAAACCAAGCACCTCCAAGTCCCTGAGGGATCCCACTTGATCTATCCCAGCTCTCTTAGATTCCACTTGGGGCTGTGTTCTAACTTGCAGTTTGCAATTTATGGCTATAGACCCAGTCCAAACTTGACAGTGACCAGTGACTGGCTCCAAAGAAAATGTGAGTCAGAACAAGTCATTTGGGAAGACCTTTGAAAGTCTGCCTCATCACGCCTCCCTTAATGACAAGTCTGCCTAGCTGAACCCTAGGAGATTCACAGATGGATTCTTCCCTGAGCTTTAGATATCAGAGCTCTCAGAGCCACGGGCAGACACAGGGAAGGGCTCAGCTGGTACCTGAGCGTGCCCACAGCCTGGCTTTCCCTGGCAGGGCCTATTGTGATGTCATTGAATCTCACTATAAAGGCAGAAGCTGTAGCTGAGAGGGGGCATAGGCTTGAGGAATGGCGTTACTGTGGGGCCTGGCTGCCCCACTGCCAGCGTATCTCAGCGTTGTGTTACTTGGTTTTTTAGTTGTTGTTGCATGGATACTGTTTTCTAGGCATCAGAACAAGGGCCAGGTGGCAGCCAAGACAAAGGTACGTGATAACCACTCTTTCTCAAGTCACTTTTCCCCATGCTGACGTCCTATAGGTTTGTCTGAATGCCTGTTCTCTGGGCCATAGGAGGACCTTGATGGAGGGCAGAGGGGAGTTGAGACATTACTAATAGATGCTTCCTCCTTTTTCTTTCTTTCTTTTGATTTTTCAAGACAAGGTTTCTCTGTGTAGCCCTGGCTCTCCTGATTTCTGTAGACCAGGTTGGCCTTGAACTCACAGAGATTCTTTAGCCTCTGCCTCCCAAGTGCTGGGACTAAGGGAGGCACTACCTGCCTTGTCTTTCTCTTAATTCACTTCAAGAAGCCTTAGGATGGGTATGGTGGTGCATACCTTTAGTCCCAACAATTGGGAGGGAGAGGCAGGAGGATCTCCCTAATTTCAAGACTAGCCTGGTCTACATAGTGAGTTCGAGGACAGCCAGGACTGAACAGAGATTCTGTCTCAAAAATTGAAGAATATGAAGAAGAATACAAAGAAGAAGAAGGAGAGGGAGAGGAGGAGGAGGAGGAGGAGGGGAATGAAACGGGAGGAGGACGAGGAGGGGGAGGATGGGGAGAAAGGGGGAGGAGGGGAAAGAGGAGGAGGGGGAAGGAGAAGAGGAAGAAGAAGAAGAAGACGATGACAAGGAGGAGAAGTCGAGGGGAAGGACGAGAAGGGGGAGGAGGAGGGGGAGGAAGAAGGAGGAGGAGGAACGGGAAGAGGAGGGGAAGAAAGAGGGGGAGGAGGGGGAAGAGGAGGAAGAGGGAGAGGAGAAAGGAGGAGGGGGAAGGAGAAGAGGAAGAAGAAGACAACGACAAGGAGGAGAAGTCAAAGGGGAGGAGAAGAAAAAGAAGAAAGAAGTAGCTTCGGTAGCTTTAGGATCTATTATCAAATAGACACTGAGGAAGAATTACTAGGTATAGAGGAAGTGCTGTCTAGGAGTTCCAGCTGAAATGAAGCATTCATATGACTTAACTCTGGGGAAGTTAGGGAAAAGAATGTGGTAAGTAAGAGTGGTGTGGATATTGTCCATCGCATGGATGGGAGGCAGATGGTAGGTGAGCTTGTCTTATGAAGATAGATTTATAACCATATGACAAGACAAAGAAGGTCTCAGGGAGTGAATTGCAAGTGTCTATTTCCAGTGGGAGAGAGATTGTCTGAGTACATTGTTTGTGTGTTTGAAACATCAGTAGATCATGCCTCTTCTGAGTCTTCGATCCTCTGAGCAGACCATGAGCGGCTGGCTCTCCTGCCATCTTCCCCAGACTTGGCACGCCCACCTCTTTATTGAGTCACTCCAGTGAGTGTGTGGTATTGCACTATGGTTTCATGTGCATCCCCCACCCTGCCCCCCGATAAATAATAACATTGAACAACATCTCAGGTTTAATAGTCGTTTGGAAATTCTCCTTTGTAAACTGCCTATTCAAGTCTGTTGTGCATTTTTTGTTTGTGTGAATTCGTGTGTGTGTGTGTGTGTGTGTGTGTGAGTGTGTGTGTGTGTGTGTGTGTGTGTGAGCATCTGGGTGTCTGTGTGTATGTTAGTGATGATCAAATTCAGGTCATTGCTCATTCCAGGTAAAGCAATGACTACATTTCTGGTGTATTTTTTCCTTGATTTTTGTTTGTCTGTTTTAGGTTTTTTTCCTTTTGGTTCTTCAAGGCACAGTTTGTCTATGTAATCCTGGATGTCCTGGAGATCTTTCTGTAGATCAGGCTGGCCTCGAACTCACAGAAATCTGCCTGCCTCTGTCTCTCGAGTGCTGGGATTAAAGGTGTGTGTCACCACCGCCTGGCAACAGTATGTTTCTATTTATTTATTTAGTAAAAACTTTCGTTTCTCATTTTACATACCAATCCCAGTTCTCACTCACTCCCCTCCTCCCTTCCCCTCCACCTCCCTCCATTCACTCCTCAGAGAGGAGTCCACAAAGTCTAGCACATTGCTTTGAGTCAGGACCAACGCCCTCCCCACTCTATCTAGACTGAGCAAGGTATCCCTCCAAAGAGAATGGGCTCCAAAAAGCCAGTACATGGAGTTGGGATAAATCCTGGTCTGTCAGTGGCCCCACAGTCTGCCCCAGTCATACAACTGTCACCCACATTCAGAGGGCCTAGTTGGGTCCTATGCTGGTCCCCTCACTGTCAGGTCAGAGTTGGTGGGTTCCCATTAGCTCAGGCAAGCTGTTTCAGTGGGTAACCCCATCATGGCCTTGACCTCTTTGCTTGTATTCTCACTCCTCCCACTCTTCGACTAGACTTTGGGAGTTCAGCCCAGTGATTTGCTGTGGGTCTCTGCCTCTGCTTGCATCAGTTGCTGGATGGAGGATCTACGGTGATATTTAAGATAGTCATCAGTCTGACTACAGGACAAGGCCAGTTCAGGCATCCTCTCCACTATTGCTTAGTGTCTTAGATGGGGTCATCCATGCGGATGCCTGGGAATTTCTCTAAAGCCAGGTTTCTTGCCAGAATGCTTCTTTATTCTAATATTTTCTTTTCTTTTAATAGTTTTATTTAAGTATTGGATAAAAGAAACATTTCTCTAGAGTTTACGTCAACATTTTGTTGATCAAATACCCGTGCTGTGCAGCCGTGCACATGAGGACGATGCTATTTGGATTTAGTGGGTTATAAAAAAAAAAGGCAAACATGAGGTTGGGAGTTGGATATGTTGTGGGGTATGTGGGGAAAGTTGGAGTGGGGAGGGGTGGGTATGATTATATTTTATTGTATGCATATATAAAGTATTTTGAATTAGGAAAAATTATTTAAAAAACCCCCTCCATGTTGTGATTTGATACATTTTGCTGCCTCTTGTACTTCCTGTGAGTTGGGATTTTTCCAAAACTCATGTAGAAATATATGCATTTTCCAGGGGATCAGGGTTGCCAAGTGTGACCTTCAGGAGGGATTCATGCCATTCTTTGCAGACTGGGTAGGGTCTCCCAGGCGGGGCTCCTTACTCTCTGAGGACTGGGTTAGCTGCCACAGGAGTCGGATCCATTTTGTCTTCCGCATGCACCCACCAGCTCCTCTGCTTCTGCTGTGAGTTGAAGCTGTACAAAGACGTCACGTGAGCTAAGGACAAGCTAGCACTAGGCTCTTAGACTTCTGGAACCATGAGGCCAACTAAACCCCTTCCTTCATAGATAGGCTGATGACAAATATTCTATTTTTTGCAACTCAACATGAACTAGAACCAGGAGGAATTTGTTTTCTGTTGGGAAGAGAGGACATACTTCATAGGTCACGATACTCACCAGGAGGTACATATTGTCTGCTCTGGTATGGCATTCTATCTATCTATCTATCTATCTATCTATCTATCTATCTATCATCTATCATCTATCTATCTATCATCTATCTATCTATCTATCCTCCATCGCCTATATCTATCTTTTTATGTATTTTTAGTACTAGGGATCGAACCCGGGGTCTGGTGTGCTAGGCAAGCAGTCCACCACCTTTCTTTCTTTCGGGGGAGGGGGCAGGGTTTCTCAGTGTAGCCCAGGCTACCCTGGAACTCACTTTGTCACTCTGTAGACCAGGCTGGCCTACTCACAGAGATCCACCTGCTCCTGTTTTCTGAGAGCTTGCATTAAAGATACATGCCACCACTGCCCCTTGTAAATCCCATTTTATAAATGATGCTGAAACCCGCAAATACAACATCTTTCCATAATGATCTGCTTAGAGGACCCTGCTAAGTTTCTCACTTTGAATCTATTCTCCTGAAGGAATATTCTCTAAATCATGTTATGTGTAAATAACAACAGTTTTATTACCTATTTTCCA